GCTCTTACTTTAGAAGGTAAAACATGGAAAAAGCGGATGAAGCCCGGGCAGGTTAAGTACAACTTTGTTTGATCAAACCCTCTGTTATGTATTAACAGTGTAAATTTTATGTTTACGATTGAGAACCAAAGGGGTGCAAGGCTGTAATAAAAGTTAAGAACCATTTTGGTATTTCCATAGCTGTGAACCCCTGATCATTGCCCCACCTTGTTACACACCGAGTCAGACCTTGTTGGTCACCCTGTGCCCCTTATAAATATCACTTACTACCCAGGAACAATAAAAACTAGCTACACAGTGTCATCATTCGTGTGGCTGCGGGCAGTGTCACAATTAGCGAGACCCATCCTACTTGCTCCACCCCCTACCCATCCTACTTGCTCCACCCCCTACCCATCCTACTTGCTCCACCCCCTACCCATCCTACTTGCTCCACCCCCTACCCATCCTACTTGCTCCACCCCTACCCATCCTACTTTGCTCCACCCCCTACCCATCCTACTTGCTCCACCCTCTGCCCATCCTACTTGCTCCACCCCCTGCCCATCCTACTTGCTCCACCCCCTACCCATCCTACTTGCTCCACCCCCTACCCATCCTACTTGCTCCATCCCCTGCCCATCCTACTTGCTCCACCCCATACCCATCCTACTTGCTCCACCCCCTACCCATCCTACTTGCTCCACCCCCTACCCATCCTACTTGCTCCACCCCCTACCCATCCTACTTGCTCCATCCCCTGCCCATCCTACTTGCTCCACCCCCTACCCATCCTACTTGCTCCACCCCCTACCCATCCTACTTGCTCCACCCCCTACCCATCCTACTTGCTCCACCCCCTACCCATCCTACTTGCCCCACCCCCTACCCATCCTACTTGCTCCACCCCCTACCCATCCTACTTGCACCACCCCCTGCCCATCCTACTTGCTCCACCCCCTACCCATCCTACTTGCTCTACCCCCTACCCATCCTACTTGCCCCACCCCCTACCCATCCTACTTGCTCCACCCCCTACCCATCCTACTTGCTCCACCCCCTACCCATCCTACTTGCTCCACCCCCTACCCATCCTACTTGCTCTACCCCCTACCCATCCTACTTGCCCCACCCCCTACCCATCCTACTTGCTCCACCCTCTACCCATCCTACTTGTTCCACCCCCTACCCATCCTACTTGCTCCACCCCCTACTCATCCTACTTGCTCCACCCCCTACTCATCCTACTTGCTCCACCATCTACCCATCCTACTTGCTCCACCCCCTACCCATCCTACTTGCTCCACCCCCTACTCATCCTACTTGCTCCACCCCCTACCCATCCTACTTGCTCCACCCCCTACCCAAACTACTTGCTCCACCCCCTACCCATCCTACTTGCTCCACCCCCTACCCATCCTACTTGCTCCACCCCATACTCATCCTACTTGCTCCACCCCCTACTCATGCTACTTGCTCCACCCCCTACCCATCCTACTTGCTCCACCCCCTACCCGTCCTACTTGCTCCACCCCCTACCCGTCGTACTTGCTCCACCCCATACGCATCCTACTTGCTCCACCCTCTACCCATCCTACTTGCTCCACCTCCTACCCATCCTACTTGCTCCACCCCCTACCCATCCTACTTCCTCCACCCTCTACCCATCCTACTTGCTCCACCCCCTACCCATCCTACTTGCTCCACCCTCTACCCATCCTACTTGCACCACCCCCTACCCATCCTACTTGCTCCACCCTCTACCCATCCTACTTGCTTCACCCTCTGCCCATCCTACTTGCTCCACCCCCTACCTATCCTACTTGCTCCACCCCCTACCCATCCTACTTGCTCCACCCCTACCCATCCTACTTGCGCCACCCCCTACCCATCCTACTTGCTCCACCCCCTACTCATCGTACTTGCTCCACCCCCTACCCATCCTACTTGCTCCACCCCATACCCAACCTACTTGCTCCACCCTCTGCCCATCCCACTTGCTCCACCCTCTACCAATCCTACTTGCGCCACCCCCTACTCATCCTACTTGCTCCACCCCCTACCCAACCTACTTGCTCGACCCTCTACCCATCCTACTTGCCCCACCCCCGACTCATCCTACTTGCTCAACCCCCTACCCGTCCTTCTTGCTCCACTCCCTACCCATTCTACTTGCTCCACCCTCTACCCATCCTACTTGCTCCACCCTCTGCCCATCCTACTTGCTCCACCCCCTACCCATCCTACTTGCTCCACCCCCTACCCATCCTACTTGCTCCACCCCCTACCCATCCTACTTGCTCCACCCCCTACTCATCCTACTTTGCTCCACCCTCTACCCATCCTACTTGCTCCACCCTCTGCCCATCCTACTTGCTCCACCCCCTACCCATCCAACTTGCTCCACCCCCTACTCATCCTACTTGCTCCACCCCCTACTCATCCTACTTGCTCCACCCCCTGCCCATCCTACTTGCTCCACCCCCTACTCATCCTACTTGCTCCACCCCCTACCCATCCTACTAGCTCCACCCCCTACCCATCCTACTTGCTCCACCCCATACCCATCCTACTTGCTCCACCGCCTACCGATCCTACTTGCTCCACCCTCTGCCCATCCTACTTGCTCCACCCCCTACCCATCCTACTTGCTCCACCCCCTACTCATCCTACTTGTTCCACCCCTACTCATCCTACTTGCTCCACCCCCTGCCCATCCTACTTGCTCCACCCCCTACTCATCCTACTTGCTCCACCCCCTACTCATCCTACTTGCTCCACCCCTACTCATCCTACTTGCTCCACCCCTACTCATCCTACTTGCTCCACCCCCTACCCATCCTACTTGCTCCACCATCTACCCATCCTTCTTGTGCCACCCCCTACTCATCCTATTTGCTCCACCCTCTACCCATCCTAATTGTTCCACCCTCTACCCATCCTACTTGCTCCACCCTCTACCCGTGCTACTTGCTCCACCCCCTACCCATCCTACTTGTCCACCCTCTACTCATCCTACTTGCTCCACCCCCTTCCCGACCTACTTGCTCCACCTCCTACCCATCCTGCTTGCTCCACCCCCTACTCATCCTACTTGCTCCACCCTCTACTCATCCTACTTGCTCCACCCTCTGCCCATCCTACTTGCTCCACCCTCTACTCATCCTACTTGCTCCACCCTCTGCCCATCCTACTTGCTCCACCTCCTACCCATCCTACTTGCTCCACCCCCTACTCATCTTACTTGCTCCACCCCCTACTCATCCTACTTGCTCCACCCCCTACTCATGCTACTTGCTCCACCCCCTACCCATCCTACGTGCTCCACCTTCTACCCATCCTACTTGCTCCACCCCCTACCCATCCTACTTGTTCCACCCCCTACCCATCCTACTTGATCCACCCCCTACCCATCCTACTTGCTCCACCCTCTTCCCATTTTACTTGCTCCACCCCTACCCGTCCTACTTGCTCCACCCATACCCATCCTACTTGCTCCACCCCCTACTCATCCTACTTGCTCCACCCCCTACCTATCCTACTTGCTCCACCCCCTACCCATCCTACTTGCTCCACCCTCTACCCATCCTACTTGCCCCACCCCCTACCCATCCTACTTGCTCCACCCTCTACCCATCCTACTTGCTCCACCCCCTACCCATCCTACTTGCACCATCATCTACCCATCCTACTTGCTCCACCCCCTACCCATCCTATTTGCTCCACCCTCTACCTATCCTACTTGCTCCACCCTCTACCCATCCTACTTGCTCCACCCCCTACCCATCCTACTTGCCCCACCCCCTACCCATCCTTCTTGCTCCACCCCCTACCCATCCTACTTGCTCCACCCCCTACCCATCCTTCTTGCTCCACCCCCTACCCATCCTACTTGCTCCACCCCCTACCCATCCTACTTGCTCCACCCCCTACCCATCCTACTTGCCCCACCCCCTACCCATCCTACTTGCTCCACCCCCTACCCATCCTAGGTGCGCCACCCCCTACTCATCCTACTTGCTCCACCCCCTACTCATCCTACTTGCTCCACCCCCTACCCATCCTACTTGCTCCACCCCCTTCCCATCCTACTTGCTCCACCCCCTTCCCATCCTACTTGCTCCACCCGCCAGCGTGGAGTCACGTGGTTCACCCAATGGGTGCGGGGGGCGTTTTGGGGAATCGCGATTATTTTTTATTAAAGGGGGTTTATTCGATACAGTCGGCATCGATTCTATGCTATCGATCCGCTCCGGCTTCGTCTGCGCGCCTATGGGAATCTCTACGGGGTACATCGCAAGGTTCGAATTCTTCCAATCGATTCCAAACGTTAGATTCCGCACGGGACGATTCTGTAGCCCGTGTTTAGGAATCGCCAGGCCCAGCTGTTGTTGTCGGATTCCTCCTCGCCTGGACGCGTCTGTCTCTCTGTGTCTCTCTGTGTCTCTCTTTGTCTCTGTGTGTCTCTCTTTGTCTCTGTGTGTCTCTGTGTCTCTCTCTGTCTCTGTGTGTCTCTCTGTGTCTCTGTGTGTCTCTGTGTCTCTGTCTCTCTGTGTCTCTCTGTGTCTCTGTCTCTCTCCGTCTCTCTGTCTCTGTGTCTCTCTGTGTCTCTCTGTCTCTCTGTGTCTCTCTTTGTCTCTCTGTGTCTCTGTCTCTCTGTGTGTCTCTGTGTCTCTGTGTGTCTCTCTGTGTCTCTCTGTCTCTGTGTCTCTCTGTGTCTCTGTCTCTCTGTGTGTCTCTGTGTCTCTCTGTGTCTCTCTGTGTCTCTGTCTCTCTGTGTGTCTCTGTGTCTCTGTCTCTCTCTGTCTCTCTGTGTCTCTGTGTCTCTCTGTCTCTCTGTGTCTCTCTTTGTCTCTCTGTGTCTCTGTGTGTCTCTGTGTCTCTCTGTGTCTCTGTCTCTCTGTCTCTCTGTGTCTCTGTGTCTCTCTGTCTCTCGGTGTCTCTCTGTGTCTCTGTGTGTCTCTGTGTCTCTCTGTGTCTCTCTTTGTCTCTCTCTGTGTCTCTCTGTGTCTCTGTGTGTCTGTGTCTCTGTGTGTCTCTCTGTGTCTCTGAGGTCACGGCCGTGTTTTTCTCTCTGTGTCTCTGAGGTCACGGCCGTGTTTGTCTCTCTCCCCGTGTAACCACCACCACCACCCTCTGTGCTGAACTCTCCCGAGTCCCATTCCGCTAGTAGCCCCCCGCCAACCCCTCCCCCCTCCCCTCCCCCTCCCCCCGCCCCCCCGCCATGGGGAACTGCCTCAAGGCGGCGTCGCTGGACGACCTCTCCCTGCTGCACGACTCGGAGCCCGGGGACGCGCAGGCGGCGGGGCCACCCCCCCCCTACCAGGCAAGCCGGGGGGGGGGGGGGCACCTGGGGGGCGTCGTAGCTAGGGACACGGCTTACCGGGCAGTGCGACGCAGGGGGAGCGACTGTGACCCCCCCCCCCCCACACAACCCCCCCAACACAACCCCCCCCCCCCACACAACCCCCCCCCCAACACAACCCCCCCAACACAACCCCCCCAACACAACCCCCCCCAACACAACCCCCCCCAACACAACCCCCCCCCAACACAACCCCCCCAACACAACCCCCCCAACACAACCCCCCCCAACACAACCCCCCCCAACACAACCCCCCCCCCAACACAACCCCCCCAACACAACCCCCCCCAACACAACCCCCCCAACACAACCCCCCCCAACACAACCCCCCCCAACACAATCCCCCCCCCCAACACAACCCCCCCCCAACACAACCCCCCCCAACCCAACCCCCCCAACACAACCCCCCCCAACACAACCCCCCCCCAACACAACCCCCCCAACACAACCCCCCAACACAACCCCCCCAACACAACCCCCCCCAACACAACCCCCCCCCAACACAACCCCCCCAACACAACCCCCCCCAACACAACCCCCCCAACACAACCCCCCCAACACAACCCCCCCCAACACAACCCCCCCAACACAACCCCCCCAACACAACCCCCCCAACACAACCCCCCCCAACACACCCCCCCCCCACGTCAGGGCCCAGACAGCTCGGTGGCTGGGGGGGGGCTCATGGTTAGCAGGGGGAGAGGTGGAGGAGGGTTCATCACAGGGGGGGAGGGAGGGGAGAGGGTTCTTCACAGGGGAGAGGGTTCATCACAGGGGGGGAGGGAGGGGAGAGGGTTCTTCACAGGGGAGAGGGTTCATCACAGGGGGGGAGGGAGGGGAGAGGGTTCATCACAGGGAGGGAGGGAGGGGAGAGGGTTCATCACAGGGAGGGGAGAGGGTTCATCACAGGGAGGGAGGGAGGGGAGAGGGTTCATCACAGGAAGGGGAGAGGGTTCATCACAGGGAGGGAGGGAGGGGAGAGGGTTCATCACAGGGAGGGGAGAGGGTTCATCACAAGGAGGAGGGAGGGGAGAGGGTTCATCACAGGGAGGGTTAATCACAAGGAGGGGAGAGGGTTAATCACAGGGGGGAGGGAGGGGAGAGGGTTCATCACAGGGAGGAGGGTTCATCACAGGGAGGAGGGAGGGGAGAGGGTTAATCACAAGGAGGGGAGAGGGTTCTTCACAGGGGAGAGGGTTCATCACAGGGAGGAGGGAGGGGAGAGGGTTCTTCACAGGGAGGAGGGAGGGGAGAGGGTTCTTCACACCACTCGTGCTGCATGTCCCCGGGTCCCAGCGAGTCGTGGAGCGAGAGGATGGAGGAGGTCGCTAGAGGCCCCAGCACCACCAGGCGGAGACGCGCCGAGTTCTGGCAGCGGTTGCGTGCGGTGTGTGGTGAGTGTGTGGTGAGTGTGTGGTGAGTGTGTGGTGTGTGTGTGGTGTGTGTGGTGAGTGTGTTGTGTGGTGTGTGTTGTGTGTGTGGTGTGTGTGTGGTGTGTGTGGTGAGTGTGTTGTGTGGTGTGTGTGGTGTGTGTTGTGTGTGTGGTGTGTGTGTGGTGTGTGTGTGGTGTGTGTGTGGTGTGTGTGGTGAGTGTGTTGTGTGGTGTGTGTGGTGTGTGTGTGTTGTGTGGTGTGTGTGGTGTGTGTGTGGTGTGTGTGTGGTGTGTGTGTGGTGTGTGTGGTGAGTGTGTTGTGTGGTGTGTGTGTGTTGTGTGGTGTGTGTGGTGTGTGTGTGGTGTGTGTGGTGTGTGTGTGGTGTGTGTGGTGTGTGTGGTGTGTGTGGTGTGTGTGTGTGGTGAGTGTGTGTGGTGAGTGTGTGGTGTGTGTGTGGTGAGTGTGTGGTGTGTGTGTGGTGTGTGTGTGGTGTGTGTGTGGTGTGTGGGTGGTGAGTGTGTGGTGTGTGTGTGTGGGGAGGTTGTGTGTGTGTGGTGTGTGTGTGGTGTGTGTGTGTGGTGAGTGTGTGTGTGGTGTGTGTGTGTGGTGAGTGTGTGGTGTGTGTGTGTGTGGTGAGTGTGTGGTGTGTGTGTGGTGAGTGTGTGGTGTGTGTGTGGTGAGGTTGTGTGTGTGGTGTGTGTGGTGTGTGTGTGTGGTGTGTGTGTGGTGAGTGTGTGTGGTGAGTGTGTGGTGAGTGTGTGTGGTGTGTGTGTGGTGTGTGTGTGTGGTGTGTGTGTGGTGAGTGTGTGGTGTGTGTGTGTGGTGTGTGTGTGGTGAGTGTGTGGTGAGTGTGTGTGGTGAGTGTGTGGTGAATGTGTGGTGTGTGTGTGTGGTGAGTGTGTGTGTGGTGAGTGTGTGGTGAGTGTGTGTGTGGTGAGTGTGTGTGGTGAGGTTGTGTAGTGAGTGTGTGTGTGTGGGGAGTGTGTGTGGTGAGTGTGTATGTGGTGAGCGTGTTTGGTGAGTGTTTGGTTAGTGTGTGTGTGGTGAGTGTGTGGTGTGTGTGGTGATTGTGTGGTGAGTGTGTGTGTGGTGAGGTTGTGTGTGGTGTGTGTGTGGTGAGTGTGTGTGTGGTGAGTGTGTGTGTGTGGTGAGTGTGTGGTGAGTGTGTGTGTGGTGAGGTTGTGTGGTGAGTGTGTGTGTGGTGAGGTTGTGTTGTGAGTGTGTGTGTGGTGAGGTTGTGTGTGGTGTGTGTGTGGTGAGTGTGTGTGTGTGGTGAGTGTGTGGTGAGTGTGTGTGTGGTGAGGTTGTGTGGTGAGTGTGTATGTGGTGAGGTTGTGTGGTGAGTGTGTGTGTGGTGAGTTCAAATCCCGCTCATGGCCAACACCGAGTGACGATTATCTGAGCCGGTCCTGGCCCTCCCCTAGGTGGACTCGGCCTCCAGTGAGTACCCGGGACGGCGCTGTGCAGTGAACATCGCCACTGGGGAGACAAAGGCGGTCGGGCGTGTTGCTGGCCACCCACCCCTCGTGAGCCATGCTGTTAGCTACTTGCTAACAGCACTCGCCCCAACAGTCTGTTACAGGCTACGCGGGGGATCTTTGTCTTTTGGTTGTGCAGGAGGAGGAGGAGGCGGGTGAGGCTCTGCCGCACTCGCTGGGGAGTGTGGAGGAGCAGGTCCGTGTGGCCCAGCGCCTGGGACTCATCCAGCACCTGCCCCACGGCCTCTACGACGACGCGGGGCCCAGCGAGAAGACCGGTCGCGAGTGAGACGCTCGTCCTCACACCTCACCACACTACTCACCACACCACACACCACACTACACACCACAGTACACACCACACACCTCACCACACTACTCACCACACTACACACCACACTACACACCACACTACACACCACACTACACACCACACTACACACCACACACCTCACCACACTACACACCACACTACACACCACACACCTCACCACACTACTCACCACACCACACACCTCACCACACTACACACCACACACCTCACCACACTACACACCACACTACACACCACACACCTCACCACACTACTCACCACACCACACACCTCACCACACTACTCACCACACTACACACCACACTACACACCACACACCTCACCACACTACACACCACACTACACACCACACACCTCACCACAGTACACACCACACTACACACCACACACCTCACCACAGTACACACCACACTACACACCTCACCACACTACACACCACACTACACACCACACTACACACCACACACCTCACCACACACCTCACCACAGTACACACCACACACCTCACCACAGTACACACCACACTACACACCACACACCTCACCACAGTACACACCACAGTACACACCACACACCTCACCACAGTACACACCACAGTACACACCACACTACACACCTCACCACACTACACACCACACTACACACCACACTACACACCACACACCTCACCACACACCTCACCACAGTACACACCACACACCTCACCACAGTACACACCACACTACACACCACACACCTCACCACAGTACACACCACAGTACACACCACACACCTCACCACAGTACACACCACAGTACACACCACACCACACACCTCACCACAGTACACACCACACTACACACCACACACCTCACCACACTACACACCACAGTACACACCACACACCTCACCACACACCTCACCACAGTACACACCACACTACACACCACACACCTCACCACAGTACACACCACACCACACACCTCACCACAGTACACACCACAGTACACACCACACACCTCACCACACTACTCACCACAGTACACACCACACTACACACCACACACCTCACCACAGTACACACCACACTACACACCACACACCTCACTACAGTACACACCTCAGTACACACCACACACCTCACCACACACCTCACCACAGTACACACCACACTACACACCACACACCTCACCACAGTACACACCACAGTACACACCACAGTACACACCACACTACACACCACACACCTCACCACAGTACACACCACACTACACACCACACACCTCACCACAGTACACACCACACACCTCACCACACACCTCACCACAGTACACACCACACTACACACCACACACCTCACCACAGTACACACCACACTACACACCACACACACCACAGTACACACCACACTACACACCACACACCTCACCACAGTACACACCACAGTACACACCACACTACACACCACACACCTCACCACAGTACACACCACAGTACACACCACACTACACACCACACACCTCACCACAGTACACACCACACTACACACCACACACCTCACCACAGTACACACCACACTACACACCACACACCTCACCACAGTACACACCACAGTACACACCACACACCTCACCACACTACTCACCACACTACACACCACACACCTCACCACACACCTCACCACAGTACACACCACACACCTCGCCACAGTACACACCACACTACACACCACACACCTCACCACAGTACACACCACAGTACACACCACACGCCTCACCACAGTACACACCACAGTACACACCACACCACACACCTCACCACAGTACACACCACACTACACACCACACACCTCACCACACTACACACCACAGTACACACCACACACCTCACCACACACCTCACCACAGTACACACCACACTACACACCACACACCTCACCACAGTACACACCACACCACACACCTCACCACAGTACACACCACAGTACACACCACACACCTCACCACACTACTCACCACAGTACACACCACACTACACACCTCACCACAGTACACACCACACTACACACCACACACCTCACTACAGTACACACCTCAGTACACACCACACACCTCACCACACACCTCACCACAGTACACACCACACTACACACCACACACCTCACCACAGTACACACCACAGTACACACCACAGTACACACCACACTACACACCACACACCTCACCACAGTACACACCACACTACACACCACACACCTCACCACAGTACACACCACACACCTCACCACACACCTCACCACAGTACACACCACACTACACACCACACACCTCACCACAGTACACACCACACTACACACCACACACCTCACCACAGTACACACCACACTACACACCACACACCTCACCACAGTACACACTACAGTACACACCACACTACACACCACACACCTCACCACAGTACACACCACAGTACACACCACACTACACACCACACACCTCACCACAGTACACACCACACTACACACTACACACCTCACCACAGTACACACCACACTACACACCACACACCTCACCACAGTACACACCACAGTACACACCACACACCTCACCACACTACTCACCACACTACACACCACACTACACACCACACACCTCACCACACTACTCACCACAGTACACACCACACTACACACCACACACCTCACCACAGTACACACCACAGTACACACCACACACCTCACCACAGTACACACCACAGTACACACCACACTACACACCACACACCTCACCACACTACACACCACACTACACACCACACACCTCACCACACTACTCACCACAGTACACACCACACTACACACCACACACCTCACCACACTACACACCACACTACACACCACACACCTCACCACAGTACACACCACAGTACACACCACACACCTCACCACACTACTCACCACAGTACACACCACACACCTCACCACAGTACACACCACACTACACACCACACACCTCACCACACTACTCACCACAGTACACACCAAACAACAACCGCCATTCGCCACTAAGTGATGGTGACGTCACCACGACGCTTGTGCCAGGCTATGTGCACCCTGAGGCCACGTGAAGTGTCGAACGCCCGCTGGCAGGAGGTCACGGGGCAGACCCAGGTGCCACGGGTCGACTGACTGAGATGACTGGCTGATGCACCACCTGTGCCCCCTACTGTGGCAACCTGCTGTGCTTTAGCCACCCGGCGCTCCGCTCGTTGTTGTGAGCGTCGCTCCTCCGCCCTCCGTTGTTGTTGGAGGGCGACTGCCTCCAACTGCCCAGTAGCGTCCTTCACGAGCATCCTCCACAGAGGCCGATCTTGACACCGCTGGTACCAGTCATCGGCAAGTCCACTCAGCTCCACGTCCTCCTGTACCACATCACTCCATCTCTTCTCTAGCCCGTGCCGCGCCCGCTTAGCCCCCTCAATCCGGCCGAACAAAAGCTGTTTCGGCATGCGGTGGCTGGGCATGCGGGCTACATGACCCAGCCATCGCAGCCTTCCCCGCCGGAGGAGCTCACCGATGGGACCTTGCCCAGATCTTTCAAGGATTTGTGATTAAACCCAGGATGGATCGTAGGCAGGCCAGCCTAAATGTTTCTAACCGGCGAAGATGTTCCATTAGGGGGGTCCACGTTTCACAAGCGTAGAGAAGGGAGGGAATGACCGTGGCCGAGAAGACCTGAAGCTTAGTGCGGAGCGACAGACCAGATAGCTTCCACACAGCGTTACGCAACCGATGAAAAGATATTGCCGCTCGACTGATTCGGAGTGAGACCTCTGCTGTTAAACTGGAGCCAGTCATAAGCACACTGCCCAGGTATGGGAAACTCTCCACTCTCTCCACAACTGCCCCATCACCGATTGGGAGTTGTGGGGGTGGAGTGTCCGATGGTACAAAATACCCAGGCAGGTGCTTAGTTTTGGTGGGACTGATGGTAAGGCCCCACCTCTTAGTGGCACGCTCCAGTCTCAGCAGCAGCGTCTCCAACTCCTCCTCTGAATGAGCAGCTATTACCAAATCATCAGCATACATAACGTGGTTGAGCAATAGGGAGCCATCCCTTGACCGCACCCGGGCATCGATCAGCCTCCCATTATATATTTACCATATGGAGATTCCCCCGGCACAGCTATTGAAGGCTTTACGAACTACGTGGTCAAAATAGATGTTAAATAATGTGGGAGCCAGAGGACATCCCTGTTGCATCGCAAGGTGTACAGGGAATGGCTCTGACTCCCGGCCACGTAGTTTTACCCGGGCCCGCTCACTATCATGAAGGTCCTTAATGATCGTGAGCAGAGGGTCAGGTACTCCAAAAGCACGAAGAACAACCCAGAGCCCAGGCCTACTGATGGTATCATAGGCCTTGACCAGGTCAATAAAGCAGAGATGTAGGTCTTGTTGGAATTCCCTACACCTCTGCTGTAGCTGACAGACAGAAAATATGGCATCTGTGCAGGACCGCCCTTTCCTGACACCGCATTGGGGCTCCGCAAGCCTCTCCTCAGCATGCCTGGCAAGGCGATGTTGAATAATCCTTGCCAGGACCTTTCCCAGCACACTGAGGAGCGAGATGCCCCTGTAGTTGTTACAGTCTGTGCGGTCCCCCTTCTTAAAAAGGGGGACCACCAGGGCATACTTCCAATCTTGCAGAACCCGTCCAGTGGTCCAGACTGTTGTTATGATGTCATATAGGGCAGTCTGTGCACAAACGCCGCCCTCCCTCAGCATTTCGCTTGGGAGATCATCTCTGCCCGCTGCCTTTCCTGGTCTCAGACTCCGGATCGCCTTCAGTACTTCCTCAACAGATGGCACCTCAGCTATCCACTCACAGGGGGTGACTTCTTCCAATATTTGAGTACACACCACACTACACACCACACACCTCACCACAGTACACACCACACTACACACCACACACCTCACCACACACCTCACCACAGTACACACCACACTACACACCACACACCTCACCACAGTACACACCACAGTACACACCACAGTACACACCACACTACACACCACACACCTCACCACAGTACACACCACACTACACACCACACACCTCACCACAGTACACACCACACACCTCACCACACACCTCACCACAGTACACACCACACTACACACCACACACCTCACCACAGTACACACCACACTACACACCACACACCTCACCACAGTACACACCACACTACACACCACACACCTCACCACAGTACACACTACAGTACACACCACACTACACACCACACACCTCACCACAGTACACACCACAGTACACACCACACTACACACCACACACCTCACCACAGTACACACCACACTACACACTACACACCTCACCACAGTACACACCACACTACACACCACACACCTCACCACAGTACACACCACAGTACACACCACACACCTCACCACACTACTCACCACACTACACACCACACTACACACCACACACCTCACCACACTACTCACCACAGTACACACCACACTACACACCACACACCTCACCACAGTACACACCACAGTACACACCACACACCTCACCACAGTACACACCACAGTACACACCACACTACACACCACACACCTCACCACACTACACACCACACTACACACCACACACCTCACCACACTACTCACCACAGTACACACCACACTACACACCACACACCTCACCACACTACACACCACACTACACACCACACACCTCACCACAGTACACACCACAGTACACACCACACACCTCACCACACTACTCACCACAGTACACACCACACACCTCACCACAGTACACACCACACTACACACCACACACCTCACCACACTACTCACCACAGTACACACCAAACAACAACCGCCATTCGCCACTAAGTGATGGTGACGTCACCACGACGCTTGTGCCAGGCTATGTGCACCCTGAGGCCACGTGAAGTGTCGAACGCCCGCTGGCAGGAGGTCACGGGGCAGACCCAGGTGCCACGGGTCGACTGACTGAGATGACTGGCTGATGCACCACCTGTTCCCCCTACTGTGGCAACCTGCTGTGCTTTAGCCACCCGGCGCTCCGCTCGTTGTTGTGAGCGTCGCTCCTCCGCCCTCCGTTGTTGTTGGAGGGCGACTGCCTCCAACTGCCCAGTAGCGTCCTTCACGAGCATCCTCCACAGAGGCCGATCTTGACACCGCTGGTACCAGTCATCGGCAAGTCCACTCAGCTCCACGTCCTCCTGTACCACATCACTCCATCTCTTCTCTAGCCCGTGCCGCGCCCGCTTAGCCCCCTCAATCCGGCCGAACAAAAGCTGTTTCGGCATGCGGTGGCTGGGCATGCGGGCTACATGACCCAGCCATCGCAGCCTTCCCCGCCGGAGGAGCTCACCGATGGGACCTTGCCCAGATCTTTCAAGGATTTGTGATTAAACCCAGGATGGATCGTAGGCAGGCCAGCCTAAATGTTTCTAACCGGCGAAGATGTTCCATTAGGGGGGTCCACGTTTCACAAGCGTAGAGAAGGGAGGGAATGACCGTGGCCGAGAAGACCTGAAGCTTAGTGCGGAGCGACAGACCAGATAGCTTCCACACAGCGTTACGCAACCGATGAAAAGATATTGCCGCTCGACTGATTCGGAGTGAGACCTCTGCTGTTAAACTGGAGCCAGTCATAAGCACACTGCCCAGGTATGGGAAACTCTCCACTCTCTCCACAACTGCCCCATCACCGATTGGGAGTTGTGGGGGTGGAGTGTCCGATGGTACAAAATACCCAGGCAGGTGCTTAGTTTTGGTGGGACTGATGGTAAGGCCCCACCTCTTAGTGGCACGCTCCAGTCTCAGCAGCAGCGTCTCCAACTCCTCCTCTGAATGAGCAGCTATTACCAAATCATCAGCATACATAACGTGGTTGAGCAATAGGGAGCCATCCCTTGACCGCACCCGGGCATCGATCAGCCTCCCATTATATATTTACCATATGGAGATTCCCCCGGCACAGCTATTGAAGGCTTTATGAACTACGTGGTCAAAATAGATGTTAAATAATGTGGGAGCCAGAGGACATCCCTGTTGCATCGCAAGGTGTACAGGGAATGGCTCTGACTCCCGGCCACGTAGTTTTACCCGGGCCCGCTCACTATCATGAAGGTCCTTAATGATCGTGAGCAGAGGGTCAGGTACTCCAAAAGCACGAAGAACAACCCAGAGCCCAGGCCTACTGATGGTATCATAGGCCTTGACCAGGTCAATAAAGCAGAGATGTAGGTCTTGTTGGAATTCCCTACACCTCTGCTGTAGCTGACAGACAGAAAATATGGCATCTGTGCAGGACCGCCCTTTCCTGACACCGCATTGGGGCTCCGCAAGCCTCTCCTCAGCATGCCTGGCAAGGCGATGTTGAATAATCCTTGCCAGGACCTTTCCCAGCACACTGAGGAGCGAGATGCCCCTGTAGTTGTTACAGTCTGTGCGGTCCCCCTTCTTAAAAAGGGGGACCACCAGGGCATACTTCCAATCTTGCAGAACCCGTCCAGTGGTCCAGACTGTTGTTATGATGTCATATAGGGCAGTCTGTGCACAAACGCCGCCCTCCCTCAGCATTTCGCTTGGGAGATCATCTCTGCCCGCTGCCTTTCCTGGTCTCAGACTCCGGATCGCCTTCAGTACTTCCTCAACAGATGGCACCTCAGCTATCCACTCACAGGGGGTGACTTCTTCCAATATTTGAGTACACACCACACTACACACCACACACCTCACCACAGTACACACCACACTACACACCACACTACACACCACACACCTCACCACACTACTCACCACACACCACACCACACACCTCACCACACACCCCACCACACTACACTACACACCACACACCCCACCACACCATACACCACACTACACACCTCACCACACACCCCACCACACTACACACCCCACCACACTACACACCACACTACACACCACACACCCCACCACACTACACACCACACACGTCACCACACTACTCACCACAGTACACACCACACTACACACCACACTACTCACCACACACCCCACCACACTACACACCACACTACACACCACACTACACACCACACTACACACCACACTACACACCTCTCTGCACACCTCACCATATGCGAATGGCTGTGCGTGTGCTGGCGTGTGATCTGCACGCTCAGAGAGTGAGTGCGTGTGTGTGTGCGTGTGT